ACAATTCTGTACATTAAACACATATAATGGATCACACAATTCTGTACATTAAACACATATAATGGATAACACAATTCTGTACATTAAACACATACAATGGATCACACAATTCTGTACATTAAACACACATAATGGATCACACAATTCTGTACATCAAACACATATAATGGATCACAATTCTGTACATCAAACACATACAATGGATCACACAATTGTGTACATGAAACACACATAATGGATAACACAATTCTGTACATTAAACACATATAATGGATCACACAATTGTGTACATTAAACACACATATAGTGGATCACACAATTCTGTACATTAAACACATATAATGGATCACACAATTCTGTACATTAAACACATATAATGGATCACACAATTCTGTACATTAAACACACATAATGGATCACACAATTCTGTACATTAAACACATATAATGATCACACAATTCTGTGTACATTAAACACACATATAGTTGATCACACAATTCTGTACATTAAACACATACAATGGATCACACAATTCTGTACATTAAACACATATAATGGATCACACAATTCTGTACATCAAACACATAATGGATCACACAATTCTGTACATTATACATGCAAAATGAGTTGCACTTTGTTGCATATTTTACATATATAATGAGTCACACAGTTCTGTATATCATAGAAACAAAATGGATCAGACAATTCTGTACATTAAACACACATAATGAATCTGACAATTCTGTACATTAAACACACATAATGGATCACACAATTCTGTACATTAAACACACATAATGGGTCACACATATCTGTACATTATACATGCAAAATGAGTCCCACTGTCGTAATTGGTGACTTCAGGTTGAGCAAGATGTGATGTTGTTTGATGTCAACATGAAATGAACTTGTCCTCATGTACCACAACACTTCTGGGGCATGAACACATGCTCTCCACTGACGTCATGCCTTTGTCTTACCACTACATAATAATGAACCATGTTCTTCTTGTTGACAATTCACGGATATACAATTGTACATTCTGTTGACTCATTTTGTATGTATAATATACATAACTATGGGTCTCATTGCTATATCAGTGTTGTTAATGACGGTGTTTAAGGATATGTTTTGGGGACTTGTACTGAAATATGTGGGTATATATATTTGTTTTTAACTTTGAAAATGAGGAAAAGCGTTGCAAAGATTCACTAACACACAGAGTTACACTGTCGCCGTGTCTGTACGTAATATAACATTCTAGACAAAAATGACGTTCAGTAATCCTATGTTAATATTTAAACGGTTTACTGGAGGAATCACAATTAAACTATTTAAATCGATACGTAGTTTAGGTACAGTATGTATAGTTCTATTACAGAAGACGTGAACATTGATCGTGATTAAGAATCAACTTATTGGACTCTATTAGTCCGACCTGTTTTCGCTACAGAAATATAAATGTGTAAGCACATCGACCCTACTGATAGAATATATTTCTTCAGTAATTAACATCTCAAACCTATAGTCAAGCGATCGACTTTTTCACAGAACACAAGACGGCAGACCAGCACGTGGGATGTGTATTAGTGACCAGGCAACCGGTGTACACATAGTGTTCTATACGAAGACAATGACCCAGGACGTGCAATAATGGGGGGATTCTATTCATACAGAGTCGTACATTGTTACCAGAATGCTACACTGTAACCTGGAAAATTCGTTTTATTTTGCGTCCGGTTTTCAGATTGTCAAGCAGAGTATAATCAACACATGTTTATATCGCCTGTTCTCTCGTGTCGTCTCCCTCACACAGTTGAAGGTTTCTTGTAGCTCACTACTTGAGCAAGAGAGTAATGATCGAACAAGGGTATATATTTTGTCGATAGAATAGTTATAGGGTGTTCTACTATAAACATTACATTATAAATTGACAAATTGTCAAGAGCTCTTAAATATCGAGACGTTACTCTATATATGATCATCACGTCTATTGGAATTTGCCCCGGGGAATCATTTAATGACGCTTACCCTCAAGTATATAATGTGGATATGTATATAAACTGATGACCCTGTCAGTTGGAAAAACTAAAAACTGTTCGTGTATAGCAGCCAGACTTTGGATGAGAGATAGCAGGGACACAGTGGATGCAGTCTGGTTCAGGTTTCTTCAAGTTTGCCCATTCTACAAATGATAAAATTACTTACTAACTTACCCAAACAGAAAGACGTTCCCCATTATCATCTTCTCTTCAGGACTATGTTTTTATAAGTGTCTTGTCAGAGTCCTCTCCATTGAGGAAACCACCACATTCCACCCTTCTCCACTGAGTCATCAAAAGTATCCCAACCGTCTCCTCCACTGAGGCATCAAACACATTCCAACCTTTTCCTCCACTCTAAACTAAGTACATCCAACCCTTCTTCTCCCCTGAGACATCCAACACATCTCAACTTTTTCCTCGAACGAGACATCAAACGCATCTCAACCTTCTCCTCCACTGACACATTCAACACATCTCAACCTTCTCCTACACTGAGGCACCCAACCCATCTCAACCTTATGCTACCTTGAGACATCAAACACATCTCAACCTTATCCTCCACTGAGACATCAAACACATCTCAACCTTATCCTCCACTGAGACATCAAACACATCTCAACCTTATCCTCCACTGAGACATCAAACACAACACAACATTCTCCTTACCCTTAGGCATCAAACACATCCCACTCTTCTCTAAAGAAGCAAGACACATCCTCAACTGAGGCATCCAACACATCTCAAACTTCTCCTATACTGAGACATCAAACACATCTCAAACTTTACCCCCACTGAGGCATTTAACACATCCCAACCTTATCATCCACTGAGGCATCCAACACATCTCAACCTTCTCCTCCAGTAAGCATCCAACACATCTCAACCTTCTCCTCCACTGAGGCATCCAACACATTTCAACCTTCTCCTCCACAGAGGCATCCAACACATCTCAACCTTATCCTCCAGTGAGGCATGCAACACATCCCAACCTTATCCTCAATGAGGCATGCAACACATCCCAACCTTAACATCCACTGAGGCATCCAACACATCTCAACCTTCTCCAGCACTGAGGCATCAACACATCTCAACCTTATCCTCCACTGAGGCATCCAACACATCCCCACCTTAATCCTCCACTGAGGCATCCAACACATCTCAACCTCTTCCTCCACTGACACATCCAAAACATCTCAACCTTCTCCTCCACTGAGGCATCCAACAGATCTCAACCTTATCCTACCATGAGACATCAAACACATCTCAACCTTATCCTCCACTGAGGCATCCAACACATCTCAACCTTATCCTCCACTGAGGCGTCAAACACATCCCAACCTTATCCTCCACTGGGGCATCCAACACATCTCAACCTCCTCCACTGAGGCATCCAACACATTTCAACCTTATCCTCCACTAAGGCATCCAACACATTTCAACCTTATCCTCCACTGAGGCATCAACACATCCCACCCTTATCCTCCACTGAGGCATCCAACACATCCCACCCTTATCCTCCACTGAGGCATCCAACACATCCCACCCTTATCCTCCACTGAGGCATCAACACATCCCACCCTTATCCTCCACTGAGGCATCCAACACATCCCACCCTTATCCTCCACTGAGGCATCCAACACATCCCACCCGTATCCTCCACTGAGGCATCCAACACATCCCACCCTTATCCTCCACTGAGGCATCCAACACATCCCAACCTTATCCTCCACTGAGGCATCAAACACATCCCAACCTTCTCCTCCAGTGAGGCATCCAACACAGTTCAACCTTCTCCTCCAGTGAGGCATCCAACACAGTTCAACCTTCTCCTCCACTGAGGCATCCAACACAGTTCAACCTTCTCCTCCATTGAGGCATCCAACACATCTCAACCTTCTTCTCCACTGAGGCATCAAACAGATGCCAATCCTTATCATCCACTGAGGCATCAAACACATCTCAACATTCTCGTCCACTGAGACATCAAATACATCTCAACCTTCTCCTCCAGTATCAATCAAACAAATGCCACTCTTCTCCTACCCTGAGACATCAAACACATTCCAGTCTGCTCCTACCGTGAGGAATCAAGCACATCCCAAATTTCTCCTCCCCCGAGGCATCAAAAACATCCCAACCTTTTTCTTTACTCTCAATGAAGCACATCCCAACCTTTTTCTCTACGCTCAGTCAAACACATCCCAACTTTCTTCTTCACCCTCAATCAAGCACATCCAAACCTTCTAACCTGAGGCATGAAACACATCATTCTCTTCCCGGTGCATCAAAGGCATGCCACCGATCCCCTTCCTTTGCCATGAATTACATCCAACCTTCTCGTACCTAGAGACAATAACCACACCCAAACACTCGATTTGTTTTTGAAGCAGACATATAACGACAACACCTTTTGACATGTATTATGTTTTTACTGTTTTTTAAGTATTTTTCATAACAGCTCACAGTGTAAGTCCATGTTAAGTAATATATAGGTAGGTTACGTAGATCTCGGTAGTCTAATATCTGGGGTTTACGTGTTACAACTATTGTGTGTCTGTTAATACTACACCATCTATAAGTGACGCAGATTACATGACTCCTGTAACAGAATGTCCCATGATCATCGATACAAAGTATTCAGCTTCTGCCGTAGATAGCAGCAGTGCTGGTACACTGGAAACACTCTCTATACCTGCCACGTCTATGCAAGATGAAAATGGCTGACAATTCCAAAAAATCGATTAAATGATAAAATGCAACCAACAAATCTTCAGGTGTCCAAGCTACAGGTTATTTCAACCCTACCCTGAGAAACACACTTTCTCTTAAATGCCTGCTTTTAATGCAAACTTTCCCCTGGGACATTAGTTTTGGGTAGATGAGAGCCTTGATGATTGTTTGTCAATTGTGGGAACCGGTCTTTGGAATCGATACATCTGGTGACGTCGTCGGCACCAAGGCGACCGAGTCGAGCTCGCTTGTCGGCGGCAGCAACATCGAGGAAGGCGCATGCCAGCTACCCCGGTAACACAGTATTAGAGAGGGTGGACTTTCGCAGGGGAACCAGCAACAACCCTGTGATTTTATAAAATTTGGGGAAGGACTTCGTTGTAGAACATTTGGTAAGTATAATCAAAGGAATATATTCATGTATATATATATTGGTCATGTACTTTTAGATTACGGGTAGACTCATTGTAATGGCGCATTTTCATACGATAACCAATAGGTTCGTTCTGGTTAACCGTTTCTGTGATTCGCTAAAAGTACTGAAAGTATCAAATACTTGAATTTTTCCCCACAAAATATTTTTGAATTGTTTTTGTTTTTTAAGAAAATTATGATACGTCATAGAAAATTTTGTGTCAGTGACAATAGTCATGATACGAACTAAATTCCACCTGTATATGATATGTAGTTCCAGCATCTTTTTACCCATACCTGTGGACGTTTCTTACTAAATATATAGTATACATTGGCAGCTTCTGTAAAATGTCAGCAGAAAGGTTTGGTTGTGTTAGAATCCATCTTGAATACATTAGATGTTCTTGCCATGTATCCCTTTGAGGATGTCTCATTCTCATCTTGTCCTGGATGGAGACCACCAATCATACCTGTTTAAAATATGACGTCATACTTCGCAGAGAACAGATGTATTGGTATATTGTGAAAACTTTACATTTATATTTATACCTTGTCGTGAACTTCGCACTACTACTTCGAAAACACTCCAATAGGATTTGAATAGAGAATTGTTCAGTGGATAAAAACTTAAGTCTATTGTTTATTTTTTGCTTGGACAGAAATTTTGTATTGATCTTTATTTCTTCAATCAATTCTAGTATATGGCTCAATCCCTACTGTACATAAATGTATCTCGTAACCCTATTACAAGGAAACATTAACTATTTTCAGAAAACGCATAGATGACTTTAAGACATGGTGATGTTATGCATTGTTGGCGTTAGAAGTGGTGCTTTCAGCTGATTGCGGGGTATCTGAAACCACCAGATGTAACAATTGTGACAAAAGAATTGTTTTGGATACGAGGACATAAAGTGTTATAGTTGTAATATTCGATATGTTCATCGTAACATAGAACTTTTGAACTACATTGCTTCTTTGTCAATGTGCTAGGGGCAGTCATATGGAACATTTGTCACATGAGTACAACATACACTTCAAAATGTGCACACTGTGCCTACACTGACGTGATGTTGTACAATGTTGGCGCCTCAAGTTCGCTATGGGTGGCGCCACTTTTGCGAGGAAGGTGACATCACTGTACAGCAGCTCCACTGGAGCGGTAACGGTAGAGTGTATGTGTATCTAAACGTGGGGATGGTAGTGTAGCTGTAGGATGTAGGTGTAGCTGTTGCAGTGATGTAGTGTATATGTGTAGCTGTTGTGGTGATGTAGTGTATATGTGTAGCTGTTGCGGTGATGTAGTCCATATGTGTAGTTGTTGCGGTGATGTAGTATGTAGGTGTAGCTGTTGCGGTGATGCAGTGTGTAGCTGTTGTGGTGATGTAGTCCATATGTGTAGCGTGCGGTGATGTAGTATGTAGGTGTAGCTGTTGCAGTGATGTAGTATGTAGGGGTAGCTGTTGTGATGATGTAGTGTATATGTGTAGCTGTTGCGGTGTTGCAGTGTGTATGTGTAGCTGTTGCATTGATGTAGTATGTAGGTGTAGCTGTTGCGGTGATGTAGTGTATATGTGAAGCTGTTGCAGTGATGTAGTGTGTATGTGTAGCTGTTGAGGTGATGTAGTCCATATGTGTAGCTGTTGCGGTGATGTAGTATGTAGGTGTAGCTGTTGCAGTGATGTAGTATGTAGGTGTAGCTGTTGCGGTGATGTAGTGTGTAGGTGTAGCTGTTGCGGTGATGTAGTGTGTATCTGTTGTGGTGATGTAGAATGTAGGTGTAGCTGTTGCGGTGATGCAGTGTATATGTGAAGCTGTTGCGGTGATGAAGTGTGTAGGTGTTCCTGTTGTGGTGATGTAGTATGTAGGTGTAGCTGTTGTGGTGATGTAGTATGTAGGTGTAGCTGTTGTGGTGATGCAGTGTGTAGGTGTAGCTGTTGCGGTGATGTAGTGTGTATGTGTAGCTGTTGCGGTGATGTAGTATGTAGGTGTAGCTGTTGCGGTGATGTAGTGTGTAGGTGTAGCTGTTGTGGTGATGCAGTGTATATGTGTAGCTGTTGCGGTGATGTAGTATGTAGGTGTAGCTGTTGCAGTGATGTAGTATGTAGGTGTAGCTGTTGCGGATGATGTAGTGTATATGTGAAGCTGTTGCGGTGATGTAGTATGTAGGTGTAGCTGTTGCGGTGATGTAGTGTATATGTGAAGCTGTTGTGGTGTATGTATAGCTGTTGTGGTGATGTAGTGTGTAGGTGTAGCTGTTGCGGTGATACAGTGTTTAGGTGTAGCTGTTGTGGTGATGTAGTGTGTAGGTGTAGCTGTTGCGGTGATGTAGTGTGTAGGTGTAGCTGTTGCGGTGATGCAGTGTGTAGGTGCAGCTGTAGTGGTCATGGATGATGTCGTGTATAGGTGCAGCTGCAGTAGTTGTAGAGGAGAGGTAGTGTGCATATGCAGATATTGCATTGGTGCTGGGATATAGGTGTAGCTGTGATAGAGGTGAAAGTATGGGGGTTAAGCTGCAGTAGTTAGAGTAGGATATAGATGCGGTGAATGTAAATACTATCTGGGACCAGTAGACGAACAAGAGATTTGAAGTATGGATGGTCGCTCAACAAACAATCAGCACGAACTACCCGTAAAGATCCGGGTAAAGGCTCCTTCACACTTATTTCGAATTGACAGGATTCAAGGAGAATCAGCCAGAAAAAAACATATTTCCAAAATTCGAACGGCATTCAGGACAGAATGTCAAAATAAACAATTTTTGCAAGATTGTCAGATTGCACCTCCTAAATGCTATCTGACGTTTCAGTGACAGGTGGCCACGTTTTTATGCGATTCGGCGGTGCTCTGATGACGTCATGGCTCATTTGAAGAGCATTCGGGGCGTTCTGACTGTATTCGAGGTGTATTCGAGGTACATTCGAGCTGTATTCCAACTGCAATCGAAATATTCCGATACATTTGAAGAATATTCCACCTGAATTCCAGCAGCAATCGAGATACATTCGAGGTGCATTCGAGGACATTCTGACAGGATTTGAAGTGGCTTGCCTTTTCCATTCTCCCTCGAATACGTTCAGAATACATAGAATGCAGTAAGAATACGTAGAATGCAGTTAAAATGCAGTAAGAATACTTAGAATGCAGTGAGAATGCACTTCAAATGCCGTTCGAAATCTTTCCACTTCGAATGTGCCTCGAAAGTTTTGAACATGTTCAAAACATTCTGGCATGTTACAAGAATTGACCCGAATAGCTGGAATGCATTTGGAATGCAGTAAGAAGTTTTAGAATGCAGTTCGAATTTCCAGGAATCTCCAGGAAGTTTCATTCCGACAGCATTCCGGCTCAAGTGTGAAGGGGGGTATGAGAATTGGTCTTTAGTAACCCATGCTTGTCGTAAGAGGCAAATACCGTGATCGGGCGGTCAGGCTTGCTGACCTGGTTGACACATGCTATGGTATCCCATGCTGTTGATCACTAGATTGTCTGGTCCAGACTCGATTATTTATAGATCGCCGCCATATAGCTGGAATACTGCTGAGTGCGGCGCTAACCAACAGCCAGCCAACCAGCACGAACTGCTCGATGCCCCGTCAGCTCCTTAGACTAGCTTCTGCTCCTTGAGAAGTAGTCAACCGGGGTATCACCTGTGTTACTTCACTAACAAAATGTGTATTTACCACGTCCAGCCTGAAGCAAGGCCTACTTGAGCTGCAGGCCTTACTTCCTCTATAACAGTTTATGTTGCTGCCCCGCAGTTCACAGCCTATCTCAGCACTGTTAATATACATCATTCCAAAAGACTAATCCAAACAACCTAATGATCTGACATTAATCAATCCCACATTCAATCAACCGGATGTTCTAATGATCGATTGTGCATGTAGCTAGCCCGAGACCTCCCTGCACGAAAAATATTAAAGTGGGGTATTGATTGCCAGTAATTGCCCTGTAACTTGTTGTCTGTGAATTATATCACAATAAGACTGTAGAAATGTCCTCATACATAAGATGGATATCTTTCACCTTCGCCACCGTGTAAGAGGACAAATCATTCATAACTGAAATTATATTGATGATAAAGACTTAAACAGATTATTTTAAATACACCAAACGTTCAATCAAATTATTAAAAGATTAAATAAAGCCGTCAATCAAACAAATTGCCGTATATTACGAGTGAAACTATTCCTAGGAGGTGGACGGGTGGGTCATGTTAGGGGAGTGGGGTGGGGAGCGTGTGTTTGTGTTTTTAGGGAGTGGGGAGGGTGTGTATGATCTGTGTTGGGGGTGTGGGGTGGGTGTGTGGCAAAGTGTTGGGTGTGGCGTTTGGTAGTTGACCCAGTTGGTCTTAGAAACGGGTTTGCAGAAGCCTAAGACACATCAAGACCCCTGATCGTGGGTTCGAATCCTAGATTCCTTCGCGTATGATCCTTGATAATAAGGATCCCTGACTTGTATCCACGAACAGTGTTACTGTCCTACCTTGTGATGTAGAAGAGGGGAAAGCCACATCGCATTACACCGCATTTTATTAGCGAACACATAGTTCAATGTGTAACGTCTCGATTCAGCAATTTTCACCACATTGGGAGTGTTGTTTATTACTGTACTATCTCACCTGCTGCTTTACTCTTTTATGCTATTGATGTTTATTGCTACATACACTTAGGCGGAGGAAGAGGTGGGGCTGGGAGCGGGTTGCGTGAGTGGCGCCTGATTCCGGTAGGGCAGGACATGATCACCATTTCGCGAAAACCTGAGGTTCAGTGATCCATTCGTATGACTTTCACTGCTACTTCGACTTTCGATAAAAAGCAGTTTCGGGTTGGGATAATTGCGACTGGTTATAATCTGACGTCGGCGGAGTTTGATGTTGTAGATCACAGTTATATTTCACACACTTGTAAAATGATATGTTTGGAATATGAACAACTCAGTTGATATTATGGAATTCAAACCTTATTTGCACAAGTTATTTAATATACAGTTTTCTTACAAAGTAAAGGTAGCAATGTTATAATGGGGCAGTTCTATCCTTGCAGCTCGGCTATAGCGCGTAAGTGCCAAATGAAGTGGACGGAAATGGTTTTAGCACACCAATAAAGAAGATGTCTGGCGCGCCTGAGAAGTAATCATGAGAGCAAAAAACTATAATGTCCATGATCTTTTATTGCACTTAGTTAAGTAGGTCAGTAGGTGTTGTCTTGTACATGACAGACCTGTCATAAACATAAATAATATCCACGTGATTTCCAAAAGAAACTTGCAAGTCATTTGCTCCCATAAACCACCAACGGTTCTACTTTAGGGTAAATTATGGTTCGAAAACAAGTGGCAAATAAAGACCAATATGACACACAAAAAGGAAAGGAAAATATATCTTTGAAAAGTTCACAAATGTTTAAAACCGTGATTATATAAACCTTCCTAACCTGAAATACTGCAACAATAAATCAATGTTTTACTCAGCCTAACGATGCTTTTACCTTGATTAGATACTTCGAACCTTTTGTCATATTGTCACCTGTTTTTAATGATTCAATTTATTCTTGATGTCCAGTTCTCGCCGATAATTGGTGGATGCGTGTTGTGATGTGTATTTCATAGAAATAATTTACCAGGGGAACGTGAACGGCAAGCCTCTAGCATTTGTTACACTGTTAATTTCTAGCTAGGTGAACAAATAAAACTGGAATTCTATTATCAGTTTGACAAAAGGTCCTACAAAATGCGTATCCAAGCCTCTTGTCACAAAACCTAGGCCCACGTCACGCTGCTGATTCAGCCAGGAAATACACAGGTACAAAAGCGTCTGATTAACAAATTTGTTGCATATCATGAATTATACGGCAATGTTTGGGTACTTTATGTCCTGTGGAGCCTTTCATGTGTAGTTGTAGCGCATCAGACACGACAACGTATACACAATATGTGTCGAAGATATGTAACCGCATGATGTAGGGGTAGATGAGTGGAAAATACCAGCAGGGATGGTGTCCGGGTCACCTGGAATGAATGAACACCTGCATTGTAGTGAGTGAGTGAGTTTAGTTTTACGCAGCACTCAGCAATCTTCCAGCCATATGGCGGTGGTCTGTAAATAATCGAGTCTGGAACAGGCAATCCACTGATCAACATCATGAACATCGATCTACGCAATTAGGATACGATGACATGTGTCAACCAAGTCAGCGAGCCTGACCACCCGATCCCGTTATTCGCCTCTTACGACAAACATGGGTTACTGAAGATCAATTCTAACTCGGATCTTCACGGTTCACCTGCATTGTTAATGTGAAGCTTGATGTTAGTGTATCAAGCCATGATGACAGGCATGTGTCGATCCAGTAGACAAATAACTGTACGCATAAACTAGTAGATACTTGGTTACATCTCTTTATTCGAATTTCCGGTTATATCAACAGTTATTATATTAGCATCCCTTCGAGTTCGACATGCTATAATGTTACACCAATATCGGAGTCTGATTCATACTTTGCATAACCATGAGGATGATAAAACCCGTTAACTTTAACTGACGGGGGAATGTCCGCTGGTAGGAATTATCGAGGTTTCAGATTTCATCATCTTAGATACACGCAAAACACGTGTCTACATTTAAGCAATATGACGTTAATATTAATACTTAAAGCGTTGTTTCTTGGAGTGTATCACCAGACAAATTCTCCAGTGACGTGCATAACAATAAAACGTTATTTCCTCGCAGAAAAACACCAAACCTATTCTTTCAGTTCCACTGAATCGCTATGCAGTATGTCTCTTCTCTCTCCACTGTGACACTGTTTACTGGTTGTCAAGTCAACCATCAATATTTTATTGTTTTCTTTTCTCTTCGAGTCTGTAAAGATCATGACAATGTGAAACTGTTTTTATTGAACGGGAGCTCCTTATAATATAGTGTAGTTTGTCCGTGTTTTCTTATGAAACTTTTGCAGTAATTACCTGAATGTATGTCTGAGATATATGGAACGGTCGTTCGGATATAAGCCATAAAAGAATATCCGTTGAATATTAAATCCGTTTGATTGGATTATGAGATGGAAATCGGGTTATAATGTATTCTGTGACGGTCTGAATCTCCTGTACCACCGCGGTATCTCCTGAATACTGACGACGACATGGTACCGTCAAACAGTGACAAAGTTGCATTGACAACTTCCCACGATTTATATGAACTTCCTGTTGAATGAATATTGAGCAGCATTAAATATTGCCGATCAGATTGTAGTATCTAGTTATCCATGGTATTGAGAAAAGACAATCAGTCAGCTCTTTGTAACTCTTACCATATATTATGTTACATCGTGACTACAATCTTTCCAAAGTGCGAGTCAATCTACACTCCTCAATGTAATATTAAA